CCTCCTCCCTAATGGCAACATCGAGGCCGGTGTCCGTGCGTGTGTTTTTTTTTCGCCGGCATTTTACGTCAATGATTTCTGCCAGACTGAAGGGTCCACTGCGCAGATATCGCCGACGTCTCACATTTTGTCCACCCTGACGATGCGATGGACAACGAGGCCGCTGCGCGTGGCACGACCGTGTATCTGGTCGACAAGCGGATAGACATGTTACCCGCGCTTCTTGGGACGAACCTCTGTTCTCTTCGGCCATTCGTCGAGCGCTTGGCGTTCTCCGTGATTTGGGTGAGGCGCCTCGGCTCTGAGGAGATGCGTTGTGTCCTAATCGCCGATGGGGCTGCAGGAATTGGCGCCGGACGCCGAAATTGTCAATGTCCGCTTTACCAAGTCTGTCATTGCGTCGAAGTCCGCGTTTACGTACGAAGAAGCGCAGGTGCGCAAAGACGACCCGTGAGTGTGACTGACGGTTGCCCGTGCCAATCTGTGCGTGGAGATCCCCACCGTATCTCACGCGCGCTTCCAGGAAGCTGGACGATGAATTGACGAGAAGTGTGAGGCTTCTGAATTCCCTCGCTCGCCAGCTCAAGGCAAAGAGGATGGCGGCGGGCGCCCTGAACCTGGCGTCGCCCGAGGTGAAGATCCAGCTGGAGAGCTCAGAGTCGTCGGACCCCATCGACGTGGAGCAGAAGGAGCTGCGGGAGACGAACAGCCTGGTCGAGGAGTTCATGCTGCTGGCGAACATCAGCGTGGCAGAAAAGATCCAGGAGGCGTTCCCACAGACGGCCGTACTGAGGCAGGTCGTTTCCCATCGCGACGCGTTCCGTAATGACAGCCACCGTCTAGACGGCACCTGCCCCCGCCGCGGGCGAACTTTGAGAAGCTGCAGGACATTTTGCTGAAGCGCAAGGGCCTGGCACTGGACGTCTCGAGCTCCGGCGCGCTTGCGGCCTCGCTGGATAGGTGCACGGTAAGCGCAGCGCGTCCATGCCCGCGCCGCCGCCCGCGTCTCACCGCCCCCTCTCCGCCCACAGGACCCCGCCGAGCCTGCGTTCAACACGCTGGTGCGCATCATGGCCACGCGCTGTATGCTCGCCGCGGAGTACTTTTGCGCGGGGAGCGTCGCGCGCGACACGTTTGCGCACTACGGCCTCGCGAGCGCGATCTACACGCACTTTACGAGCCCGATCAGGCGGTACGCCGGTGAGCACGCCCCGTCCCCGCCCCCGTCCGCGAGTGGGCACAGAGGCTGACAGAGGGATGCGCGCAGACGTGCTCGTGCACCGGCAGCTCGCGGCGGCGCTCGGGCGCGGGGCGCTGCACGCGAGCCTGC